TAGCTTATGTATATATTGCTGACCATCAGATTTACAGTGCTATATTTTTTTTACATAACTTGGACAAAACCTTTAGGTTTTTGGGGGGCATTTTATATCTTAAATGCACTTATGTAAATTAATTAATAGTAATTTGGACTTTAAATTTGGTTAAAAACCCATAATATAAAAAATACCAAAATTTTTAAAAAATGATAAATTTGAACACAATTTTGCATGTTGTGACAAATCATGATGTCTAGGAGTTTTTTAAATATTTTATTTGTTTTCAACACACCAAAATACATGGAAATTAGATGAAAATAATCAAACAGCTTTTTAGTCGCAGACCTGTGATTCTACCTGCTTCTTGAGAAACTGGGGAAAGGATTGATTAATTCCAGGTTCATTCCTGCATTGGTAAGAAGAGGAAATGGAGGAATCAATTTACCAGCAGAGATTAAATAGCAAACGCACAAACAAACGACCACCTTTTGAGACCAAGGATGGTATTAGTCTGACAATTTAAATAAACAAATCAATGGAGGCTATGGGTTCCTGGCAGTAATGCTTAATCCACCTGCAAGACTGGGCCCTGGTTCTGAGGACATCACATTACAAGGTCTTATCTGGATGAAAGAATCTAACATCTCCAATAATAAGAGATAGTAGCTGGGCGGGAGCGGGGATGACTATGACACTCCACACCCTCCCGTCACCAGTTGTATTCCACAGTTGAGGAAGTCTTCCTGGTCTGGACTGGTTAGGGCTGTTCTCTCTTTCCCTCCCCTTTCGATGCTCGGAATGATGACATTACTCCGGTACTGAAGCCGGAGATAAAAAGGAGCCTATACATTAAGTGCCGCCTCCTCCTCAAGGCACCAGAGAGGAGCTCACTTAGAAGGTTTGGTCTCCAACCGCGTCATAGACGGCAGGCGGGAAAGGCGTCAGGAATCAACGCCGGTGTTAACTTATTGTTGGGCGCCGGGCAAGGAACGAGGAGGCAAACGGCCGAGTGCCAGCCAGGGGGACCCGTCCAGAAAGGCGCAGCTTCGTCCTGAAGGAGAACAGCAGCACTTTCTGGAGTTGTGCGAAGCGAAGGCTGCCGGTGAAGCGGACGTCTCTTCAGCAGAGCGTGCCGAGTTTTGCGGGGCCAGGTGACAAGTCAAAGCGCGCTCCGAGCTAAAAAGCGAAGCAGGCGGTCCAGAGCGCCCCTGAATCGCACGGAGCTCATCCATGGTCACCTGTAGAGAAGTCGGGGGCTTCGGCGTCTGGGACTATGTGGTCTTCGCGTTCATGCTTGTTATCTCCGCGGTCATCGGAGTGTACTACGCCTTCGCGGGCGGTGGCCAGAGGACCCGCGAAGCCTTCTTAATGGGGGGCCGCAGCATGTCAGCTTTCCCCGTGGCGCTCTCCTTAACGGCCAGCTTCATGTCGGCCGTGACGATACTAGGCACCCCCGCCGAAATCTACCGCTTCGGGTGCATGTTTAGCCTCTTCGCCATCTCCTACGCGTTCGTGGCGCTCATAACCGCGGAGATCTTCATGCCCGTCTTCTACCGCCTGAAAATCACCAGCACCTACGAGGTAGGGAGGGGGAGACCGGTCAGCTTTTCTTCTGCTCATAGTTGCTTTCTCGGGAGGCACTGGCCCGTTTCTTCTTGGCTGCGGACTATTGTTTTATCCACATCCTAGTAATTGCACACAAACAATTACTGCCATATTGTTTTCTCCACTCCATCACTCATTTTCAACTAGGAGGTGTAAGTTGGAAAGAGTTGAAAACGCTCTGCAGCTTGTCCTATAGACTTGGACGCTGCAGATCGATCTTCCATTACCATGTGATCCCAGCAGGCATGAAAATAATTTAGAGTAGTTTCACAAGCTCAGCAACTTGATATGTGAACGCCAACTCCTAGAATTCCCCAACCATTCCCCAAACATTCACACATCTTAAAAGTCGCACATCTTAAACATTGCTAACATTGGTTTAGTTAGAGAGGACAGAATAGCTTCTGGCAAATGAATATGCTTCCTTGTCATATAGCCCCCTAGATTTTGCTGCTTGAAGTGATTGTTTCATTTTATGAAATAGAATTATGCGTGACTCAGCACACAAGTTTTATTGGATAATAATCATTGTGAAACCTTGTATTAGATGCAACAGAACAATTATGTATAGAATAAAACTTGATGTGGAATGTAGATTTATATAAACAGAATAGAATGACAGAGGTTGGCAGAATAAAGCAAGGCTGAAGAGTTAAGACAACTCTAAAGTAATAATTATTCAGTAAAATGTCAATTGTTTCTTCAAAGTTACACACAAATCTTACAAAGTGTTTGTTTATTACAGTACCTAGAAATGCGGTTTAATAGACCGCTGCGCCTGTGTGGAACAGGACTCTTTATTATACTGACGGTAAGAAAATTAATTTTATACATGTCTTAATGTATGATATTTCTAAAGTAAATTGACTCAGCCTGCCATCTTTCCAAGGTTAGCAAAATGAGGACCCAGATTGTTGAAGGAAATATGCTCATATTATAAACTGCTCAGAGAGTGCTGTAAAGCATCGTATATAAGTCTAAGTGCTATTATTATTGCTAAATTTTAATATCTAATAACTCTGCAGTAGATTACATAACTAAGAAGTTTAATGTAGTATAAATAATAGTGGTAAAATAGTGGTAAAATAAAGTTGGTTTTTAAAAACAGATGTGAAGTTATTAACTATATTATTTTATATGAAACTAAACTGAAGTACAAAGTAAAGAAAATCTTCATCTCCAATGACAAAGAGAGTTTGATTGCCTATTTAAGTTATAATAGATATTTAGGTGGATAGGTGATGAGGTGGTGCAGTGGTTAGGGTGCAGTACTGCAGGCCACTTTAGCTGACTGTGATCTGCAGNTTAACTGGTTTGTTTCCAAGATGGATCCTGGTTCAATTGTTGAAAACACTGCATTAACCATTTTCATGATAGGGGCCAAAATTTTCTTCGGCACAGTTTTTGGTGATGTTAAATGTTGCCTTTCCTCATTAAGCAGAAAATGTTCCATGATCTTATCCTTCAATTCTTTTTGTTTTCGAGTTAGTTCATTATTATTATTATTATTATTATTATTATTATTATTATTATTATTATATAGTTTATTCATTAAACATGAAACTCAGCCAACTGAACATTATTATTGTTCTTATTATTGTTGTTGTTATTATTATTATCATCATCATCTACCTTCTGATATTTTATATTACCTTTTTGTTTGTATGTACATTTGTTATTTGTATGTACATGTTTGTATGTTTGCATATACACTATTATATTATCTTGTTGTTTGTATGTACAGATCAGGGGTAAAATCCTCCTGGTACAGCCCGGTTCGGCCAAACCAGTAGGGAAAATAGGGATGGAGTAGTAAAAAAAAGCTCAGCTGTGAGCTGCGTGATCATGGGAAGCTTCCCCTCCACACACGCACACTTTTTAAAAGATTATTTTTCCTGCCAGTTCAGGTGTATAGGCAGGGGAAAAAATGCTTTAAAAAGTTTAAAAAATATCTTCCAACAATTGCGCAGATCAGCTGTGAGCTATGCAATTGTCAAAAGCTCCTCCCCCCACTTTTTAAAGGGTTTTTTTTCGGCCGGTTCAGGTGAATAGACAGGAAAAAAATCCTTTAAAAAGTGAACAAAAGTTGGTCATGCCCACCCAGTCACATGACACCCCCCCCAACCACAACCAGAGAACTGGTGGGCAAAAAAATTAAATTTCACCATTGGTACAGATAGTCCTTGAGTTATGAATGTAATGGAGCCTTTCTATTCCATTCGTAACCCAAGGATTTGTGGAAGTGAATCTCATACCTTGAACAGGATCACTCCCTTCTTTTTGCCCATGGATTTGCTAATTAAATGTGAGGCTTGGTAAGTGCATGAGGTATTTCAAGGTGGGGAAGGCAATGGGGAGGAGGCTACTGATGGAACAGGCCACATGCCTAAGACCACCGAACGCCTCCACTGACGCACTGAAATACTTCATGTTCCCCACAATTGCTTTCCCCCCCCCAACCTGCCGCACCAGGTCACTTACCTTATGATCTAGCAAGCAGTCTCCTCTCCAGCCTCTCAGCCATGTGCGCCCTCTGCAGGTCCATTTGGGCCTCCGCAGGCCTCGTCCAGCAAGTTGCCGGTTGAAATGGAGCTTCTGAGGAGTGAATCTGCCACTCCATTCAGCCCTCCGCAGGCCTCCCCCAGCCCATTGCAAGCCAAAATGGAGCTTCCACGTGGTGGATCGCTAAGGGAACACTCGTAACCCAGGTTTACCTGTACACTAAGAGGGTCAAGCATGTGGAAATCAGTAGATTCGGGCACTTTTAATGAGTATAAAGATTTATTGCAAACTTAAGCTTTCTACATGATTCTCAGCTATTAACAGTCAAAGCAAATTGATGGTACATAAGAGTCAAAGGAATTAAAAGTGGGTTGGACTTAGATATCTTGTGGGTGTGCAGGGACTCATGCCTAATGACACATTTGATCCCTTCCTCGGGTTCAGTCTGGATGTTTCCTATATTGAGCTTATACACCAGAAACAAATTCCTTGTATGTCCAATTACTGTATTTTTCAGAGTATAAGACGCACCAAGATTTTGAAGAAGCAAATTTTTTTTAAAGTTTTTGCACTCTGCAGACCTACCCAAAATGACCCATTTTTGTCAAAAAAAGAGCATGCATAGCCTTTAGGAGGCTTGTAGAGTGTTCCTGGGGGGCTGGAGGAGGGGAAAACAGCCTATTTCTCGCTCATTTCTGCCCTCCCCAGCACCCAGGAGCACTCTGGAAGCCTCCTAAAGGCTATGCATGGCCATTTTTGCAAAGGTGGGGTTTTGGGAGGCTGAAAATTCTGTATTCAGTGTATAAGACGCAGCCAGATTTTCAGCCTCTTTTTTGAGAGAAAAAGGTGTGTCTTATACTCTGAAAAATACGGAATACTTGCCAAATATTCTGTTCTGTTCTGTTCTATCCTATTCTCTATTAAATGTTGACATTTCATATTTGTTGCTTTGTCCATTAATATTATATTTTGCCATTCATTTACTTTGTTCAATAAACTTATTTCAGCTTCTATCACCCTTATGTTTTATTGCCTTCCAATGCACAAACCTCCCCATTTTATGCTGTCAAAATACATGCAGAGAGATGAGCAAAGGAAAAAAGAGCATCAGCAATTTCAATTATAGTACCACTAAGTCAGATCTTACTTAAGGCTAACTCTTTAAATGTGATTTGTGTCAAACAGACTTCTTATATTTAAAAAAAACTTTGTAAAGCAACAAATTTTAATTCAAGGAAATCAGGAATCATAAGGAATCAGACTGTTCAAATAAAGAATTGATTTCCTTTTATTTTAAACACCTTGGATTCTAATTTCTGCTTTTATAAAGGAATCTTAGTTATGGGGAAAAGTTAAATAGAGACAATACTGGGAGCAACTATAACTGTCTTAATGGAATCACAGAAAAGCAATAATTTGAGGAGAAAGAAAGAACTAATTTGACATCAAGAGCTGGCAACTGGGGACAATCATCAACCTCAGATTAACAACAGAAGGAATTAAGAGAACTGATCTCTATAGTTATCTTCCTTTTCACCTCTCTCAGTCACCTTTCTGAGTTCTTTCACTTAAATTAACCTATAGTTAGCAATCTGGTTAAATGATAAATCTGTTTTTGTAAAATTAAAAACCTTAAGCAAACAAGGGAACAGTTTGAAAGCCAAAAGGATAAAGTTCAAATAGGTGTAACTAATCTCTTGCCATTAAGGTTTAAGCAGCATTTGAACAAAACTGAATGTGACATTTCAGCTCTTTCCTTCCCAGAACTGAATACTAATTATAACTTTGGTGATATTTATAAGGGCTTTCTAATTTTCTACATATATTACTGAATACATTTTAAAAACACAGAAATATATAACACAAAAGGCTATAACTTTTACTAGGTAATCATAAGAACAATATACACAGCATATAACAACAAAAACAGTGTGACATCAGGTTTCTCCTAACAGGATTCTCGGGAAGCAATTAAGTGGGCAATCTAGAATCCAGACATTTGTAATAATTCAATTTTTATGGCAGTAAAGTTGCCATAAAACTTATACAGCTTTATACCGAAGCAAAATTTATATAGTCAGTGTTCAAATCTCTATGCCTACTTTTTTCTGACCACAATATGTAAAGAGCCAGAAGTAATTTTTTTGTGTGCAGGAGATACAGTTTTTATTTGTTCTTGTTCTAGTAATGGCCTGTTCTAATATGGTTTTCTTTAAATCATGTGAGGACTAACTTTCACAAGAGATCATTGTGTAAAGGGTTATGAATACGCAGCCCCATAGATCTAAACAAAACAGTTTGGCTTTAATACAGATTAATTTTACTTATTAGTAGACCATGTTTACATCTATCAGACATCATAAAGTTGGAGGTAGTTCATTTTAGTGAAGGATCAAGCAGACTCATCCAGCACTGCACATCAGGGAATGTATGTATGTGTCATTCTGGGATAGTGTCAGCCTCTTTTTTGCTGCTTTCGGCTGCCATTGAAACGGGGAGGGGAGGGGCATGGTATTTGGGTGAGGAAGTATCAGTACAGGAGTGACTGTTAAAAGGGAGTTGTTCTCACCATCTACTGCGCATGCTGCAGATACAGGATTTGCCGCCAAGGTCAACTGTCCGGCATACCAACCTGATGATATCTATGATTATACGTGCTTTTGCCTTAGATCTTGCTTTGCTTAGCTGCTATCTACTCATGACCAGTAAAAGTACTCTTAATTCTGCAAAATGGAGTTGAGTGGTTTCTTTCTTGGTTACTGAGGGAGGCCACCTTCACAGATGGTTGCATAGATGTTCCATTTATATTTCTGCAAATGTAATCTGGCTAGGGGGCACTCAAATAGCAAAGCACAGAACAGGAAGTTGGCTCAACCAATCAGCATATAGGATATGCACTCCACAAAGTTGGAATTTGGGAGGTGAGTGTATTGAAGGTCTGCAGCTATCTGCAGCCTATGCTTACCAAACAACCCCTACATGCAATTGTAGTAAAGGTAAACGTAAAGGTTTCCCTCGCAAAAGTGCTAGTTGTTCCTGATTCTAAAGGGCAGTGCTCATCTGTTTCAAAGCCAAAGAGCCAGCCCTGTCCAAAGATGCCTCCGTGGTCATGTGGCCTACATGACTAAATGCTGATTGCACACTGTTACCTTCCCACCAAAGGTGATTCCTATTTTTTTTACTTGCACTTTTACATGCTTTCAAACTGCTAGATTGGCAGAAGCTGGGACAAGTAACAGGAGCTCATTCCATTATGCAGCGCTAACTATTTGAACCTCCGAACTACTGACCTTTCTGATTGACAAGCTCAGCGTCTTGGCCACTGAGCCACCTTCAGACAACTCTGTATCAAGCTTAAGTTCATATATCATTTTCTAAACATTGTTCAGAATTGTTTATTAACTAAACCATAATTGGCTGAATTTACATGATGTATGG